ACCTGATGGTCTTTATCTCACTCCTCCCCACCGCTGTCACACTGGGAAGTGCCCTAAGTCATTGTCATGAAACGGCTCGTGTGCAGACATCTGACAAATGGTCAAAAGAGGAAGGAAAGAAAATGAAAAGGAGCGAACAGGCTTGTCTGTATGTCCCTGACATTCACTCCCTAACAAACCATTTTTTAATCCCCTTATCCACTTAACTCGTGCCAGCTTATTATCTGCCTTAACTTCAGTGTTGTTGTTGTATACCTTCTGGTCAGCGCCCGCCCATAGCTGGCCGTCCAGCAGGTTTTCAGAGGCTGTAAGTGATTGCCCATCTTTCTCCTGCAGAGCAGCTGGTGGATTGGAACCACGTACCTTTGGATTAACAACACTTCCACTTCCTTACCACTAACCCACTAGAGCTCTCTAAGCTTGACTTCAGGGGAACCGATGTTAATGGTGTAAAATTGAATTTACACAATAACTGGGAAAACAGAGTGATCTTTCTGCTCCCCGAAAACATGCTATGAAATGACGACTGTGTGTCCAGAGCTGGTTAGAGGACTAGGTCATGTTCACAGTCGTCCTCTGACTTTCATGGCGTTTTTCTCTTTCAATACTTTGATGCTGCTGTGTACAACAAGTTCAGTGGAGGCAATAGTGTAGAATAGGTAAGTAGTAGGTAAGAGGGATTTTCAGGTTCGTTAGCAGCTTCTGTTCTGATTTGGGCGATGTGTTACAATGTGATTGATAAGATACTTTAAAAGGTGCTTAAAAATCCCATGGTCAGCCATCCCACTATTATTTCATAACGTTGTTCTAAGGCCTGAGGGATCATTTAGCCTGATGGTCTCCCTTTTCCACTTCTGCTAGCAACAGTGTGAGTGAAAAGGGTCCCAACTTGGCAGTAGATACCATGCCAAGTCAGAGAATGTGGGATGATAGAGATAGCAGTGAAGAGCTGGCATGCAGCACTGTTATGACGGTTCCCCTTTAATCAAAGGCAACAGAGATGATGTATTCTTGCAACTTTTTGGGAGGTTAATTTGTTCTCCAATAGACTGGAGGATGTGAGAATGCTGTGAATGAGGGGACTGACTTCAGTGTTCCTTTGTCCATTGACCTGCCCTTGGTCACAGGGGTTGTTGAGCCATGGTTGGTCTTCTGGATTCTTCTGATGGAATATTGAAGTGGGATCCCCATGACTTAGGGGTCACAGGCATGGACATTGAGGCAGATGAATGAAAAAAAGCCTTGGTCTCTGTCAAATAAAAAGAAGGACACCATGATTCTGAAATAATCAGAATGGTGAGGGGGAACACGGAGTATGCTCTAAGTCTCTCTTATACAGGACAGTGTTTGTGTACCATCAACTTGGAACCAACTAATAGCTGAGCCTCCAGCAAGTTTTCAGAGGCATTAAATCACAAAAGAGGAGATTGTGATCCTTCGAACGGGGAGCAGCTGGTGGATTTGAATCATGGACCTTTGGACTGGCAGTGTAATTCCTTATCACTAAGCCATGGAGGGAACTCTGGTGACTTAGTGATAAGAAGCTGCTCTGCAACCCAAAACACATACAATTTGAATCTACCAGCTGCTCCAGGAAATGTTGTTGTTGTTGTTATGTGCCGTCGAGTCGCCTGCAACTCATAGCGACCCTATGTACAACAGCCCTAAACTCCACTCTGTCCTGCGCCAATCGCACTGCCTCTGACACTCCCATCCCAATTATCCCAGTCACTGAATCAATCCACCTCATAGAGGGCCTTCCTCTCCTGCGCTGTCCCTCCACCCTCCCAAGCATGATGTCCCTCTCTAAGGACCGGTCTCTCCTCACAACATGTCCAAAGTATGTTAGACGGAGCCTCAGAATCCTTGCCTCCAAGGAGCCACCCGGTTTAACCCTTTCCAGGACAAATCTGTTTGTTTTCCTAGCAGTCCATGGTATTCTCAATACTCTTCTCCAGCACCACAGCTCAAAGGCATCAATTCTCCTTCTATCCTCCTTGGTCATTGTCCAACTCTCTGATGCATAACAAGTGATTGCAAAGACTATGGCCTGTATCAGATGCACCTTAGTTTCCAAAGAGATACCATTGCTCTTCAGCACTTTGGAGAGGTCCCTAACAGCAGACTTTCCCATGGCAATGCGCCTTTTAATTTCCTGGCTGCTGGTGCCAAGGCTGTTGACTATGGAGCCAAGCAAACTAAAGCTGTGAACAATCTCAATCTCTTCACCATCCATCCTGATGCTGCCAATTGGTCCAGTGGTGAGAATCTTTGTCTTCTTGACATTGAGCCTCAGTCCATATTGTAGGCTATAGGATGGTCACTTCCCTCCTGTGTGATTTACTGCCTCTGGAAACCCACTGGAGGGTCAGCTACCAGAAGCTACAACAAGCCACCAGGACTACGTAATACCTACATACACATATACATACATCTATTCCCTGTTATTCAGTCACAATCTTATAAAATGCAGCAGCAACTTTTAGAAGCTATCACTTTTAATCTACAGTAGCCAACAGCACGAATCAGCTGCTTTCTTTGGTGCTCAGGTGAAGGAGGATTTGAAGATACTTGGCCTCAGCGATCACTTAAACCGTGATGGGAATTACAAGCCATCTAATGCAGTGTATCCAAAACTAAGCAAAATACCAACAATATTTTTCTTATTTTTGGCTTGCATTTTGACTTCAAAATAAACTCCCAAATAAGTTAATATTCATAACACTGAAGTTTTGTTTGGTTTTTCATTAGAAGAAAATGAAAAGTCATTGTGTGTGAATGGATAAGAGTTTTGTTATTAAGCAACAACAACTTTGCTCTCCTTTTCAAATATTTCTGCCCAGGAATGCCTGGTAGTAGGAAATCTAAAAAATATTTGTTTCCTCTAATTATAAACACTAAATAGAAGTCATATTTCTTGATTCTTTGTCATATGCATATATGTTTTTTGTTAAACTTTGAGTCTATATATTTAGTGATGCTTTTGATTCAGAATGAAATTGAATTTCACTATTAGTTTTTAGAATGTTATGTACCATGGAGTTGGAACTGACTCAAAGCTGACCTCCAGCAGATTTTCAGAGGCAGTAAATCAAATGGGAGGAGATTGCCCATATTTCTCTCATGGAGCAGCCAGAGGATTTGAACCACTTGCTTTTAAGTTGGTAGCACAACTCCTTACCACAAGGCCAAAATATGTTCTTTAAATATTATTTATATGCTGCAGTGTAAATATAGCCTATGAATTAGGGTTTGATGACCTTTAAAACCAGAGCTCTCCTAGCATCATGCAGAAAAGTTGACACGCACCTACACACTATCCTGATTTCTCACACCATTGGATAGTTCTCAAAAATTATTCCTAGGGAGCTCTGGTGGCCTAGTAGCAAGAAGCTACACTGCAAACCTAGAGAGTTGTGTGGTTTGAATCCACCAGACGCTCTGCTGGAAAAGGAGGGCCAATCTCCTCCTGTACCAGTCAGATCCGATTTGATGGTGTACACACACACACACACACACACACACAAAATAATAATAATAGTAAAAATTGTTCCTTTGCCTACTTTTTGTATTTTATTATTATTATTATTTTGTGTGTCTGTGTGTGTGTACCATCAAATCAGATCTGACTGGTACAGGAGGAGAGAGCATCTGGTGGATTCAAACTGTGTACTTCTGGGATTGCAGTGCAGCTTCTTGCCACTAGGCCACCAGAGCTCCCCATCTTTTGCCTACTTTTTTGTTTACATTAGTGAATTCATTTGCCTGTACTTATTTGTGTGTGACTAATTTTACTTAACATTTCATTTATAAGATTCATGCCCTTAGTTACAAGTAATTGTACATCAGTCATTCACATTGCTGTATAATGTTGCATTTGACACGTAAATCTTGGTACTACCAAACACATTTTAAAGATAGAAGACGGTTTCTCAAGTCTTGATGATGGTAAGGTATAGAATATTTGTTTGTTTTTGGGTTGTTGTGTTTGTTTGTTTTTTCCATCCACAATCGAGTATCAGCTGATTGGATATGCTGGAGTGAGCTAACAGTGAGCTGTGGGTTGGACGTTTCTTGGTTTACAGTCAAGCAGCACCCGGTGGACATGCCTTGTATTTGAAAGGTGGTAGGGCCCTTGGGATTTGGGGATGAACGTTCTTCTAAGTGGTACAGCAGTGGTCTGTCTCTTTGCTGTACTGAGGTAACTTGGGGTGGCTGTGATGTTGAGCACTGTACCACAGATGTGTCAAATGCCATAATGGTTACCCACTGAGACAGTACTTGGTGGAGCTCCCAGACTGATTCAGGTTTGGAAGCAGGAGCCACATCCACTTCCTAAACCACGTCCCTCTGGAAACTATGAATATAGTGAAATGATGATAATTTATAGGACAGGGTTCAGGTCTTGTTCATAGGGTCACTATGAGTCGTACTTGATTCGAGGGCATTTAACAACAACAACATACTAATATGAGACCATTCAGAAAGATATAAAGAGTTCAAATATCTATACATCCTTCTCCAAACTTGGTATTTTTAAATCTTTTTAATTTAGTCATTTTGATGAAATATCATCATTTTTTCTCTCTATCATTAATATCTAAAATTACTAAATAAACATCTAGCAAACTTCTGATAAAGACATTTATCTCTGCGATATGATAGAGCAACATCTCATAAAGTGGATTGCTTCAACGCAAACAGTGTCAATAAATACAGTTAGAATGATGCAAGCAGAAATGGATCAACACAGTGTGAGTTATTTTAAGAAAATTAAAACATTGCATTATTTTCAGAGAAAGCATTTCTTTGGTAATAAGTAAACGTGTGTAAGTTAGAAGTTTGTGGAATCTGAAAGTGGGCGTTTTTGAAACAAGACTTTGGGATGGGTTGTCGGATAAAAGAGAACAGTTATGATTTTTTCTCACTGTACTAATGATTTGGATTTTGTTAGAAAAACACAAAGAAGTGGTTGACTTGTATTTCTGTTATCATTTCAGGGTCTCCATTTTGGTGCCTCTTAGACATTGTTCCTATAAAGAACGAGAAAGGCGATGTGGTCCTTTTCCTGGCCTCATTCAAAGATATAACAGATACAAAAGTGAAGATCACTCCGGAAGAGAAAAAAGAAGGTTTGTACTGTTTTCACAAAACATTGACAGATGGAGTAACATGTTGAAATTATTTACGCAAAAATATGAGGAGGCAAAAAAAAAGGCCTTTTAATAACAGCAACTGATAAATATTCATGTGTCAGCTGTCAAGATTTAGCGATGACGTGTGTCTATCCTAAAATCACAAAGACTCACATGCAGTTATGTTCTCGTCTTTGCTAGAAACACTTATTTGACAGGAGTCAGAAGTTCAGATTCCTTTACAAATAGAAGGAGGATGGAAAAACAATTTATCAGATTGTATTGATTCCCATCACCTAGTTTTATAATGGAAAAAGAAAAGCATCTATATCAATAAGTGAAGTTAAACTGACGTGGTTAGAATTCTCTCTTAGTTCCATCTCAAATGCTGAAGCTAAGAGCGAATTAATGCAAAAGTTGTTTTTATACTCAGAATTTGTTTCAGAATGGAATGAGGTGGTGCAGTCCTAAAGCATTTACTGCTTACTGAAACAGCTAACATTTAAACCAGCCCTAAACTCTGCTCTGTCCTGTGCCAGTCGCACTGTCTCTGACACACCCATCCCTATTACCCCAGTCACTGAATCAATCCACCCCCATCCCAAACTGCTCAGCAGGGGGAAGGTGGCAGTTTGCTTCTGTAAAGGAACTTAATAGCCTTCAAAACCCTATGGGGCACTTCCGCGCGATCCTGTAGGGTCTCTGTGAGTCAGAATTGATCTGATAGCAATGGGTTTGGTGTACTTGGAATGGATTATTACATCCTACAGTTTTTAGTATAGTCAGCCTTTTCAGTTGCTTGCTATGCATCTGAGAGTGGGACGATGAATAAGAATGACAGAAGAAATGATGCCTTTGAGCTGTGGTGTTGGAGAAGAGTACAGAATATTCCATGGACTGACAAAAGAACAGACAGGTCTTGGAGACGGTGTGGCCAGCTTGCTCCTGGAGGCAGAGATGATGACCTTCGTCTCATGTACTGTGGGAAGGTTGCTAGAAGAGGCTATTCCTTGGAGAAGGACATCTTGCTTGGAAAGGTGGAGAGTCAGATAAGGAGAGGAAGACCCCCAGCCCGATGGACCGGCACCATGCTGGCAGTGAAGGGCTCGATGACAGATGGTGAGGATGGCACAGGATAGGACAGGGTTCAGATGTGTTGTCTGCAGGGTCACCATAAGTCACTCTAGACTTGATGACACCTAAAAACAACATCATCAACACTTTGAGTATACAGCAAACCAACTCCCTACCATTGAGTTGACTCCAACTTTTAAAGACTCTGAAGACCCCACAGAGTCACCAAGGCTGGATTGTTTATGGAAGCCAACAGTCTGACCTTCCTCTCGTGGAGCTAGCCGGGGGATTCGAATTGCTGGCCTATTGCTAGCAGCTAATACCTTAACCACAGTGTTACCAGAACTCCTTTTTTGTAGAGAGTAGTAACTATATATTACAAAGGCAAATTAATGTATGTCCTGTGCTTTTTAGTACAGAGTTGTTGTTGTTGATGTTGTTGTTATGTGCCATCAAGTCAGCAAACCCACAGCTGGCCCTCTGTGTTTCTCAGCGGCAGTAAATTGCACAGGAGGAGAATGCCCATCCTTCTCCCACAGAGAAGCTGCTGGATTCGAACTGAATGCCTTTGGGATTGTAGTGCAGCTTCTTACTACTAGGCCACCTGAGCTCCTTAGTACATGCTGTTGTTGTTGTTATGTGCCATCGAGTTGCTTGCGACTCTATAGCGACCCTATGTACAACAGCCCTAAACTCTGCTCAGTCCTGTGTTAGTCGCACTGTCTCTGACACTCCCATCCCAATTATCCCAGTCACTGAATCAATCCACCTCATAGAGGGCCTTCCCTTTCTCGCTGTCCCTCCACCCTCCCAAGCATGATGTCCCTCTCTAAGGACCGGTCTCTCCTTACAACATGTCCAAAGTATGTTAGATGGAGCCTCAGAATCCTTGCCTCCAAGGAGATGCCCTGTTTAGTAATATACTAATTTCATCCACGACTAAGTAAACCTCTAAATGATCATCAAAATATTATTTTTAGTCTTTATATTTTATGCTTATTGTGAATACTTACACCTGATTAGGAAATTCTTCTGTATTAAATTCTTTTGAAGAAACGCTGGCAGTTAAAGCGTTGATCTGCTGATGGTTAGGTGCACAGCGGCTCCGCGTGGACAGGGTGAAGCCGATTGCTTCCATGAAGACTTCCAGCTTTGAAAACGTCATGAGACGATGCCACTCTGTCCCGTGTGGTCCCTGTGAGTCAAAGGTCAACTCAAGGGCATTGGGAAGTGGACTGAGTTCTTTTTTGGAATCCTTGTTTGATGCAAATGATTAACACATTTGGCTGCTGACCAGCCATTGGAGGTCGCTTCCTCTCAGAGGCTCCTTCGAAGCTGTAGAATCCCACCTCCAACCTTTCACTTATCAGCCCAGTGTGATAACTGCTTGTGGCAGCCACAACCCCCAAGTTCTTTATTATAAAACTGTCCATTTGCCGTTTTATCCCTTCTCCTCTGGGGAATCCACTCTTGAACTCCCGTTCTTGTTGAAAAGATGGGGGCTTGAAATGACAACAGAAATGAACCACCACCACCCTTTGGTGTCCCACCTCTTCTGTGTCATTTATTAAAATGCTTGCAAATGTGTGACGGTTTCCCATGTATTTGCATAAGCATGATGGCATAGTTTACATATCCAGGGAGAAGAAACCTCACGGTAAGTTACCTGGACATGAGCCCAAGGCTTACACTTGCCCAGTCACAGAGGATCTTGGAAATCAGAAGGGTGACTTTTGTTTTCTTTATACTCTTTTACTGGATAGTGTAGGGATACAGAAGGAGCCTTTGAACATATTTCGACATGATGATACATGTATTTCTAGTATATGCACTCACATACAGGTACAGGTAGATAGAAATCTGAAACAATCCTTAGTAAGAAAGATAAAGCATTCTCGAGCTCCAAAGGAGAATAAAGCTCTGAAGCTCTGTCTTACATACTTTGGGCATGTTGCTAGGAGGGACCAGTCCTTGGAGAAGGACATCAAGGAAGGGTGGAGGGTCAACACAAAAGAGGAAGATTTTAGGTGAAATGGATTGACACAGTGACTGTGGCAATGTGGTCAGATGTGTCTGAGAAAGTGAAGTTAGCTCAGGACAGGGCAGGGCAGGGTTAATAAATCTGAATTCTTTGTGGGGGGGAAGAAAGAAAGAAAAAATACTGAAAATATTTCTGAATTTTTTGGGAAAAAGAAAAAATCTTGAAAAAAATTCTTTAAAAAAAGAAAAAAAATGAGGAAAATACTGAATAGAGGCATAACAAAAGCCATTCATCTGTGTCTCAAGTCTCCCCTTTCTGTGGATGGGACAGAAGGAAGGGAATCTCACCTTTGCAGGACTGTCCAGGACAAAGGGGGTAAGGTGTGCTCCCTCATTGGAGTTTGAGAGATCTCAATTAAAAATATTGCTTTCCCACCCAAGTCCTGAACCAGATGACAAAGAATAGGGCATGCAATGCAGTTGATGATCTTACTTTTACAGTTGACAATTACACTTATTTCTGATAAAAATGATAGAGAAGAAAGTGGCATATGCCCAGGGACTGATGAGTTCCTTCAAGTCACCTCCAGCCACAGTCAGACTTCCTGATGGTAGGTAGGTGGGATTCTCCCATGTGTGACTTAACTGCACTAAAACAGAGTTGTTGTTGTTGTTGTTGTTGTTGTTGTTATTGTTATTATTATTGTTTTGTGCCATTGAGTTCAACAATAGCTCTGAACCCTGCCCTATCCTGAGCCAACCCCACTGTCTCAGACACATCTGACCACATTGCCACAGTCACTGTGTCAATCCATGTCATCTCGAATCTTCCTCTTTTGCGCTGACCCTCCACCCTTCCATGTGTGATGTCCTTCTCCAAGGACAGGTCCCTCCTGACAACATGCCCAAAGTATGTGAGATGGAGCTTCAGAATCCTTGCCTCCAAGGAGCAGCATAGCTTAACCCTCTCTCTCCAAGATGAACCTGCTTGTTCTGCTAGTGGTCTGTTCTACTTAGAGTAGGAGTCCCCAAAGGGGAGAACAAAGAAGGGGGTGCTCTATCGATGCTCATGTCTCCTCAGTCAGAGTCAATCAGATGAAAATCCTCCTGGGGGTTCAGTGGTTGAACCCTGCTATTTCTCCAGCAACTCTTTAAGTGAAAGATCTCATGATTTACAACCATAAAAATTACAACCAAGAAACTGCTATGGGCCAGTTACATTCTGTCATAGGTCTCTCTGTAAGTCAGAAATCATCTCTGGCCACTTACTCCCACCAGAGGACCAGCGATAATTATAGTCACCCAAAGCTCGGTCATAAAAATCACATTTCAACTTGATTTATATTTAAACTGAACTCAATAATGGTCACACTTTGTTTGTTATAAAGGCTGTGGTAAGATATAAAGAATATAAAAATATCAACAATGAAGACTTATCTATATTTATGGTATGCAAAATATTATTTAGAATGTTTTAGACACTTAGTAGGACGACTGTAAGGATTTTTAGACTTTGTTGTTAGTTGTCCCCTCCGGCAGGTTTTCAGAGGCAGTAAATCATATGGAAGGAGATTGCCCCTGTTTCTCCCACAGAGCCTCTGGTGGTTTCAAACTGCATGCCTTTGGGTTGACAGCACAACTACTTACCATGAGACCACCAGAGCTCCCCTCTCTTGAAAAAGACCTCATTGCCTTCAGAGCTGCCAGTCCACTGAGTTCCCGCCTTTCTCTCCCTGAGCCACTGGTGGACCCAACTGCGGGGGTGGCATTTAGGTTAACAGCACAACATCTGTGGACTATACACATGTCGTTTGTACCACAGAGCTATGTCTCTGTATTTCCTATGAGGCATTGTGCTTAATAGACACTGGCTTAATAATCACTGATTTATTACATTGTGCATAATAGACACTGGCTTAATAACTGATTCATTTTATTAAAGA